TACTCTGACCTTGGACCTCCTTTTACTTCCTATAGGCTACGAACCTAAGAGATGGTTCTATGGGATTCTCTTACGTCGACTACAGTTACCAAGCCTGGTAAGTCATGGAAAGTCTTGGAAAATGAGAGAACTACATTCCTTTAGCATAAATAGGATTGCCCTTTCCTTAAGAAAGGGCAAGCAGACAATACAGTAAATCGACTATCACATACTTCCACGTCTTTTCCAAGCTTCCAAGCATTGATCTTGTTACTCCTTGTTTCTGAAAAGTCAGTGAGGTGTTAACCTCTGACTTACCCCTGAGTTCCCAGACTCAACATTTGTTGCAACTTGTCTGAACCACTTCACTACATCACACACCTGATTGCTGCGTTGTGGAATAGTCTAAGCTACGACCCTTTGGCTCTTTTTCCTAAGACAGTGTGTTGTCTTAGTAAATTCATCCCTTCCTTGGGTGGCTAGATTCTCACATCTGGTGCACCCACCATTACACCATGCTATCTTGGTTGTTGCATGCAGGTTGACGAAAGAAAGACATTTCATGGGCAAGAAGGGACTACTGCAGAAGCTACAGCACAGCTCTTACTTCGACATGTATGGAAGCACCATGGTCTACCAAACTCGATAATATCAGACAGAGGTCCTCAGTTCATTGCAGAAGTCTGGAGTTTGCTCTGCAAAATTTGGAAAATTTCAGCCAAACTTTCAACTGCCTTCCACCCAGAAACAGATGGACAGACTGAGTGATTCAATGCAGAGCTCGAACGCTACTTGCGAGCTCATGTGAACTATCTTCAAGACAATGCGGAGTTTGCTGCCAACAGTTTGCCATCAGATGCAACCAAGACAAGTGCGTTTTTTGCGAACAAGGGCTATGAACCAAGAATGAGCTTCAATACAGAGCAGCAAGCATATCACAAAGCCAAACAAGAGCACAAGAACATAGCTCAGACCATGGCAAAGGTTTCAGAGTTTCTGCAGGATGAAATCACGCTCTCGCAAGCAAAAATGGAACATTTCGCGAACAAGAAAAGGAAACCTGCACCACGCTATCAAGTGGGAGACAGAGTATGGCTTTCAACTCGAAATATAAAGACACAGAGGCCATCAAAGAAGCTAGACCACAAGCAAGTGGGACCTTTTGAAATTCTAGAGCGAATTGGGCAAGTTGCATATCGGCTCAAACTTCCAAACAGCATGAAGATTCATCCAGTATTTCATGCCAATCTATTAAGACTTGACTCTAATGATGTAATCGAAGGGCAGCAACAGGAGCCAGAGCCTCCAGTCATTGTCAATGGCGAAGAGGAGTGGGAAGTGGACTAAATCCTCGACTCAAAAGTTATTTGAAAGAAGCTTTTCTACAAGGCAGCTTGGAAGAACTATCCACCGGATAAGACATGGTATATTGCAGAGAGCTTTGAAAATTCTCCAGAAGTTACCCAAGCATATCACAGAAAATACCCTCAGAAACCAAAATGAGAGCTGGAGACAATGTTTTTTTTTGAAAATGGGATTTCAAAAAAAAACAGTCCCCCCCCCTACTCCAGAGTTGATCAGGAGATCAACTCTGGAGTAGGGGGGGGGGTAGTGTTACGATATCAAGTGCGCCTTGCAGCTCGAGTGGGGGTTCAGGGGTGTGGGGAGCTTTCCGGGGTTGGAGCGAAGTTTTCAGTTGTGGAGTGAATTCTCAGAACTGGTCTCGCTAAAGAGAATTCACTCCACAATAGCTGTATATAGATCGAGCCACTGCTCGAGTGCTCCTCTTCTCTTTCCTTTCTTCTCTAGATTGAGTTTAATTCATAATACCCAACTGGCGCCCTATGCCTTGGTGAACCGTGACATCCTATACCCGAAGTGCCCAGCCAATGGGTCGTAATGGCAAATCTTAAAGATTTCCATCCTCACTGCCTGATTGGGAGGTACGTATACCGCTCCCTTGAAGCATAGGATGCCTGCATCGTCTACCTTCCAACCTGGAGAGCCCTTCGCTTGCACAGTCCCAGCGTCCTTGGCCCATTTAACAGCTAACTCGTCAGTCGCCTGAAGGGTTTTAATCAAGTCCATCAGTGGGCCCGTTGCAGCTCCATAGGCACTCTCTCCCTGAGTTACGGCTGTCACCGCAACTCTAGGGACAACGAAACCTGGACTCTTGGTGTCCTTATTTTGGTTCTCGTCCGGTCAGTGATTGCAGCTACACAGTCGCTTTCCATGGCTACTCCTTCCATAGTGACAATGTACCCAAGGAAACTTACCTTCTTGGCATTGAACTCGCACTTTGAGAGCTTCACATATAGGTTCGCCTCATGTAGGCGTCCTAGGACCTCTCATACGTGGTTGGCATGTCCCTCCTCGTCCTGGGAGTAAATGAGGATATTGTCAAGGTACACCACACAGGTGGTGTCCATGAGCCCTTGTAGGGTCTCGTTCATGTACGCCTGGAACGTTGCTGTCGCGTTTGCCAACCCGAAAGGCATCACTCAATATTCGAAGTGCCCATAACGGGTGCGGAAGGCTGTCTTCCACTCGTCGCCTGGGCGAATTCGGATTCGGTGATAGGCGTTCCGGATATCTAGCTTTGTGAAGCACCTTGCCCCTTGGAGTCGATCCAAGGTGTCAGTGATGAGTGGCAAGGGGTGCCTATTCTTTACAGTGATCTTATTCAGGCCCCTATAGTCCACGCAAAGACGTAGGCTTCCATCCTTCTTCTGGACGAATAGGATAGGAGCGCCTGCAGGGCTCACGCTCCTTCGGATCCATCCTTTCTTCTCGCTCGCGTCAAGGTACTCGCGAAGCGTGGCCAGCTCAGTTTCCGATAGATTGTATACTGGCCCATACAGTGGTTCCTGGGTTCCTGTATCAATGGCGTGGGTTTTTCTTCCTAGCTCTGGGAGGTCCTCTGCCTTCTCTTCGGAAAAGACGTCAATATACGCCTTGTACTCCTTTGGGCACTGGGTGAGCGTATTGTCTTCTGTGCTCAGAGCCAAGACAAAGGCTGTATCACCTTTCTCCCACTTTTCAATGTCCGACACCTCAGCCCTTGCGATATCAAAGGGCTGGCGCCAGGTCTGTCTGCGCCAATCAATTTGTGGGTTCACTTGCGCTATCCAGTCCATGCCCAGGATGATGTCTACACCTGGGGTGTCCATGGAAAGGAGGGTTTGGGTGACTACACACTCCCTTTTGAAGTGGTCCCTTGTTCGGATCTGGGCGGTAGCTGCCCCATATATCGTAATATCCTTTCCATCGACTGCCCTTGCGCGTAGGGATGCCTTGTCCCGGCATTCCAAACCCTTCTCTTTGTTACGATGGTCATAGAGGTCATGATGCCAGTCCAGGAAAAGTAATCTAGATTGAATCTAAAGAGAGAAGAAGAAGAAGAAGGAAGGAAGGTGAGGCTATTCCTCATAACATACAGTTGTCTGCTTAGCGGTTGTAACCTTGGTGGCTAAGGCTACACCCGTAATCCCCATAACAACCGTAATAACCCCTCTCCAGTTGGAGGAGCCTCCTCGTGAGGAACCCCCCTCGTCCCTTTGGCTATTCTTGTGGCCATCAGGGTTCTTCTCAGAGACCCAGCGGTTGGTCATTTCCAACATCGCAAGGAGGTTAACAATAACGTCCCTGCGGGTGGAGGATCGCTCAGCGTGCCCCCCTTCAAGGAGTCATTGTCTCATTTCTGGGTGGATCTTCATCAAGAGGTGGGTGGTCTTCTGCGCCTCGGTATACGGGTCCATTTCGCGCTCGAGGTCCTCAAGATAGGCCACAAACTTGCGGATACTCTGCCCTTTCCTTTGGGCAGCTACGTTATACTTGATGGCTGCAAGATGCTGTCGGTTGGCCGGGTCAACGTGACGACTTGACTACCGATCTAGAACCGATTTCCCGACGAGCATCGAAGGATGCTTTACAGAAGCAGATAAAGGCCGCAGGCCAAAAGCCATGCCAATTATCTTACGACGAATCAGTAGTAGTGTAAGCACTTAGCTGTTGCTACAATTTGCGATCCACGAATGAATCATACAGTATTTAAAAAGATATATCTAAATACGATACATGAAGATCACGAGCAAGGGCGCAATTCGAAGACGTTTGTAGAACGTACCAAAAGCGAGAGTATCACCTTGATACAGAGCGTATCGACCGTGAAATAGCTCTTGCGGAAACAATAGGTGCTACTAATACAATAGAGCAAGAACCTGATTCTGACGACCTATTTGCGTTAGAAGGCTTAGCATTTCAGGAGCTAGCATGGAAGCGTTGATGCTTGAACCACGGCCTAGTAAGCATACTGATATCCTCAAATATTGGTGCGCAAAGCAATACCAATATCTGGTTATTGTCCGTATTGCTCGTGACCATTTAGCAATTCCAGCAGCATCCGCAGCCATCAGAACGGGTATTTAGTAATGGTAGTGATATTATTACAAAAAAGCGGAATAGGTTATCACCGCCGACGATTAGATATTTACGTTCATTACGGAATTGGGGTCGGATACAAGAGGCTGACAGTGATCGATGATGCTGACGATGTGGCATACGAATAGGGGCACACGAATAGGTTGGGTTAGGTTAGGTTAGGTTATTACTATTACCAAAAGCTTCATTTTTTATATACTCCATTTAGCCTCATATATCCGGATATATACCTACTCTACCAGTAAGAAATTGGCCGGGTATATACCCTACCCGTGGGAATCACGGATACTACCCGGATACATATCCGCCGAACACAAGTCCAATAGAATGAGACTTCCAGAGAAATGCTCCTCCAGTGATACACAACGAATGGGAATGCATGGAGCAGTGCGAGGATAAAGAAGGCATATAAAATCCATCCATGGAAGACCTGAAGCCTTTCGTGTGTAGTTATATATATAGTGTGATTTGATATTTGGTTTATATGGCAACATATCTATAATATATCTACGCTTGCGCTAAGATGGATTGACAATGATCCTTCCAAAAATGATGATGCTGCACCAGCGCTCACAATGATACTATAGCTTCGAATCCTTCGCCGCAAGGTCCCGCAGGGCCTTTCTAAGGATCTTCCCCGACTATGGAATAGTTAGCATGCAGTTCCACCTATTATTCTCGAGTGCAAAACTTACCGGATTCTTAGGTATTTCATCCACAAATACAACGCCTCCAGTGAGCCACTTATACCTGGTGGTCTGCTTCTCGACAAACTCGGCGATCTCCCTCTTCGTCGCCGTCATCCCCTGCTTGAGCGCAACATAGGCCCTCGGGCACTCTTCACCCTGAACAACAACGCCCACCACACCCACATCAGCCACCTTAAGGTTCTCCAGTATCAGTCCTTCCAGTTCCGCCGGTGCAACCTGGAAGCCCTTGACCTTAATAAGTTCCTTCAAGCGATCAACAATGAACCAGCGGCCATTCTCGACCCTCGCCATATCACCGGTCCTCAGCCATCCGTCGCTCATCGTATCCGCCGTCGCGGTCGGGTTGCGCCAGTAGCCCTTCATGATGTTGGGGCCGCGGACCCACATCTCGCCTGTGGAATCGGGGTGAACGGGAACGTCGATGCCGGTCTTGGGGTCGACGAGGCGGGCAGACAGGCCGGAGACGAGGGAGCCAACGGAAGCGTCGGTAGCGAGCACGGCAGGGTTCATTCCCGTGGCTATAACTGTCGTTTCTGTCATGCCGTAACCTTGCAGTGGGGTTGTTAGTCTGTTAATGGGAGGGGTAGGTTGTACGCGGGTGGCTTACCTTAATGTTTAGATTGCCACCCCATAGGGTCTCAGCCTCGCGGGCGAGAGAGGAGCTTAGTGGCGCACCGCCGCAGAAGACGTAGTTGACGCTGCTAAGGTCGGCTTTCTTAGCTGCGGGGTGCTTGGCGAGAGCAGTGACGATGGGCGGCACGATCACGAGCTCGGTGACACAGTGGGTTGAGATGTGTCCCAGGAAATCGAGGAAGTCGAATTTGGGCATGATGTAGATTGGGATTCCGCGCTTGGGCCCAATAGAGCTGTACGTCACTTGTCCAAATGCGTGGTAGAGACTACAAGGTAATTAGTATGTATCGAATAGATCCTGTAAAATTGATCGGGGATCATACGGTAGCACGCATAGGCCTCTCGCAACCTTTAAGTTCTTCTCGTAGTCAGGATCTTCCTTCATGAGGTTGATCATCTGGGTGCTGGTGGCCATGTAGTTATAATGTGTGATCTCGACGCCCTTCGCAACCCCAGTCGTGCCGGAAGAGTAGTTGATGACGCAGGTCGTATTCTTTGGGTCCTTCAGATGCGCCCACTGGAACTGGGCACCCTCCAAGTTGCTCGCTACGAGCGCCTCCCAATATTTCACGCCGAGACGAGATGCCCCTCCTCCCTGGTAAATTTCGTCGTCAAATATGAAAATGTTGTCCTTGCTGAACCCCGCAGTTCCGGCGGCGTCCAGTGCCACCTCCAGACTCGCCCCGGAGGACACCATGAACCTAGGCTGCGAATCCTTCAATTGATGCGCCAGCTCGCGGGCCACATATGTCGGGTTCGATCCAGTGAATATACCGCCAGCCATGATGATGCCCATGAATATAACGGGATAGAAGAGCGCATTGCCGGAGTAAACCAGCACTCGGTCACCCGGTTGCAGGCCAGCCCTTTGCAGACCAGCAGCTACACGTTTTGACCATTGCCTCCACGATGCCAGTGTCAGGTAATGGGTATCAGGGCGTGTGGCATCGAGGAATGCTACCTTGTGAGGGATGGGGTCAGATGCGGACCCGAATACCCATTCGTGCAGCGATGGGGATCGGATTGGGGCCAACGCCGATGAAGGTTCGTAAATCATTTTGAGCAAGAGGGCTAGGTGGTATTCGAATCGCGGACGATAGCGTATCAAGGGAGCAAAGAATGATATTTATGTAGAATAGAGGGACAACAACGTTGGGGGAAGTCAGCGATGATCAGTTGTATTCTTATATCCGCACTCGCATAATCCTATCCACACACACATATGGATGCAAGGTTTCCATACCAACCACCTAGCTAGATACAGTAAGCAATAGCTTACTAGTGTTAAAAATGTCAGCCTCGCGCAAATAAAAGCCGATTGTAACAGAGTCATATAACCAGAATCATAGATATAGTCGGCCTTGGTAAGAGCTGTTTACCGTGCTCACCCTCGGTACAAGTTAGGATGCGTGGGAAACTTGTTGGGTCTGGGCAGTTGCTTTGCCCTATGGTTGGCGGAAACAATGGTTAGTTGCCGAGAGGCCACAAATCATAAAAAATATACGGAGAGTGTTGCTGTAAGACCCTCGAGTACTACAAAAACAGTCAAATATTAACTTTGTCGCCATATCCGTGCGATCAAGCGGTTTAGTTACCGTGATCCATCGTTCCTTCCCATATAAGGATTACTCAAATATCACGTGATGCATATATGTGTTCGTCACGTGATACATAAGCTCTTTGGGCTAGGTTAGGAATAGCGTCTAACTCCGGCGAAACACCCAACGTCCCAAGCTCAGGGCGGTGAGAACAGAGCAAGTCGCCTTCTTATATCAGATCTCAGTTGCGATTGGTGGCTGATGTCCTAAACTGCAATAGGGAGCGCTCTAGAGACGACATGTAGCTTGAGAGTCAAGCAAGCCTGGCTAAGCACATATCAACTGCCGCCCGGGTTGCCGGAAACCCCCAGCGCTGCCTCGTCCCACTCCGCATTCTCGGAGAGGCCTCCCCGCTGCGTCCCCCATGCATATGGAAGGGTTTCATTGGTCACATAACATGGCGTTGGCGTTTTTTGTAGCATAGATGGGCGAATTGGTTGAGTTGCAATGGGTTGCAATGGATGGGACATGTACATACAGTCATGACGCGTTAAGTCGATACTCGATTCACGTTAAGTCGATACGTTTTGCTGGCCTCAACCCCCCTGTCCACTACCAAAATACGTTCGATATCTCGATATTTACGCTATCTCGATGGTATTTACGGGACCCGAGCTATCGACTTAACGGATTATGACTGTACTAAGATGGTGTAGCAGTGTGCATATCTCAGGCCGGCCGGGAGGTGATACAGAGTGCGGACGGGAGGGTAGTGAGTGAGGGGCTGCCGATGTTAGATTGTCTCGGGTTCGTTTTGAGTGTGATGCACCTGTCATCACGCCCCAAGGGGAAACCCTTCCAGTGACCAAAACGGCAATATCTCGGAAGCATTTCTACATCGGGGACTTTTTGCGAACCTAGACGCTTGGAATCATGCATTTCTGCAAAGAGTGTGCCGAACAGAGCAGTGCTGGTCCAGTTGCACGTTTGACAGACTGCTCGAACCGAGGCCGGAGCTTGGGTTTGAACTAGGAGCCGGCGTTTGTGATCTGCTTGGTGGCGCAAGGGCACCTTGCGAAGATCTGTACATCTCGGGGCCCTATCTGTGGGGCGCTCGCGGGGAGTTTTGCAAAACATGGTGCCCTGTTCGCCGGATTGTCAAGAGGTTGAAGGACCGAGATAATGATATCCCACGCGGATCCTTGGCCTGTCTAGTCCTCTTCGGGCCTAGCCGAGACGTGTAGAGCCTCACATTACGAGCATTGGCGCCCGCGCTTATGGAGAATAAAGTCCTGAAATGTGCAGCTGGTAGGTTTTTTTGTTTGCCGCCTATCCCTTTCAGGGCTATGGGGAGGCTGTGCAGTTGGAGAAACATGATTAGAAACGATAAGGGGTAGAGTCTAAGAACAGACAACTTGGAGACAGGCCTCTGGACCGTACTTCACGACACCTCATTGGATGATTGTGCTGTCACAATAACACTACTTGCGGTTGGCTTGTTTCCGCACAGCGCCGCGGTGATCGAAACAACTCTAAGTGCCGGTTTTCTGGCTTGGGATTGTATCCGTGCAGAGGAAGTTGCATGCGATTGGTTGATATATCTGATAAGTTATTCACTGGCGGCACTATGTCTCCATTGCCCTCTAGCACGAAACAATTTTATATTCTCCATGACTTTCAACGTGTTCGTGGATAGATAAAAGGGAGGAGAATCCCCTCACAATGTTTGTTCTCCATCAGCTTCACAGCCGCTTCTCTCTGTCTTCATCAGTTTTCTGCTTCAATCTATTAAAACTTTTTATTACATTTCACTTTCACAAAAGCAAATATGCAGATTACTTCCGTCATCGTCCTGGCCGCTTTCACCATTCCAAGTGTCTACGGCCATGGAGTTATCACCGAGGTCCAAGGCGCTAACGGTGTCGTCATGCCAGGCATTACAGGTGAGAATATTACGCTCATACTCAAAACCACCCATCTAACAAGTCATAGTAATCGACGGCACTCCACGTGACTGCTCCAGCGCACTTTGCGGCGCACAGGCTGATACGGCTATCACCCGCAACATCGAGCTTGGGACGAGCATGGCCTCTGCACTTGGCCGCACGTCAGGTAGCGGACCAGTTAATGCCGCCGCCGCCGTCGCCAACTTCATGGGTGGCGCCAAGAACATCGCGGCTCGCGACGCGCACATGTCCAAGCGCATCGATTTCTCCAGTTTCCTCGGTGGAGCTGGCGGGGGTGCAACCGGCACTGGTGTCAAGACTGTGAAGGGCACATCGGAATCCGGTGTTGCGGCGGCAGCTGGGTCGGGCGCCAAGTCCGGTCTCCCCACCACCGCCGACGATGGAACCCTCACAATGACCTTCCATCAAGTGAACCAGGACGGCGCGGGCCCTCTTACCGCAGCCGTTGATGGAACCTCCGGCGGCACCGACCCTGCGGCCTTCAAGAGCGCGCAGGTAGTCCAGAACGTGCCCGGCACCATTGCAGGGCTCAGCACGGCAACCAGCACCGACTTCCCCGTCAAGATCCAAATGCCAGCCGGCATGGTGTGCTCGGCGACCGTGGCGGGTGTCAACAATGTTTGCGTCGCGAAATTACAGAACTCGGCGCTGGCTGGGCCATTTGGCGGTTCGGTGGCGTTCACGCAGAGCTCGACGGCGAAGAAGCGCGCGGTCGAGTTTAACTTCCGCGCGCGCCGATTTGCGCGCGCTCTTAGGGATTAGGTGGATATGGAATCTAGATGCTGGCAGGGGTGGGGGAGTCTAGACAGGAGATGATGAGGGTTGGTGCTGGTGCTGGTGCTGGTGCTGGTGCTGGTGCTGGTGCTGGTGCTGGTGCTGGTGCTGTTGGGTTTTTGTTTGGCACTTGGCGCTTGCCCTCGTCTGCGGCGCGGATCCGGGATACACTCCTTATAGGTGACGCTACGGGATAGATTTCTGTATTACCAGATTAGTTTATATGGATTTTATCTTCTCCAGAAATTAATAATTTGTTGCGGGCCGCTCTTTGTTGATCTATTTGGGGATTCTTGCATTGGGGCTGGAGTGTGCATTTGTTGGAGTCAAACGTTGAAGGCATCATCGAACAACACGCCTTCGCAGAGGTGTGGCCATTTCCATTATTAACGAGGCTGTATATGAAATATCCGTGGCCAGCTTCCACTCACAATGCCTCCCGCTATTGACGGCCTCCCCAACCCAACGAGATCATCTCGTCCATCTTCGCCCATCCACGGTGAGTCGGCGACCCTCGCAGCCATATGCCGTTTGTCATGCTACTTTTGTTGAGAGTAATTGATGGGGTAACGGAGATACATAGCTAATTTAGTATGTAAATCCCCGATCAATCAGTCTCTTGGCGCACAGTAAATACAGAATGCACAATATATAGATCGATTGAATTTTTTACACTATCCTACGGGCCTACGTATTCTACTTATAGGCCTCGGGGGAAGCCCCGAAACCCTGACAAACTGAGGGCTCTTCAGCTTCAGCTGTGATAGAATTCGGTGGCTGCATAAGGCCTACATCCAAGCCAATAGCCCATCGTATCCCAGCGCCCGAATCCTTCTCCCTCCAACAACTTTGGCTTCGTTGCAGCGCCCTCACCGTGCCATACAACAGCATGAGGACGCACCACATGACCCACGCCGTACCCCGCTGCTGTTGCGGACGCTGCTACGCAACCCAGCGCTTGGGAGTCAGATAGTCGAGGTGCAACTTAAGCTACCAGGCCAAGAACGTGAAGATATCGGTTGCTTTTCTGAAGAAGAGGGGGTGCTAGCGAGGGGTCTGGTTTCCAGACTGTATGGGAGGGGATTGTTTACAGAGGAACTGTTTGCTAGGAACATCCTGTATACTACAGACCGACGTGACGGTGCCGGCTCAGAGGAGACTTGGAATAACAATGTATACGAGGGTCAATGGGATGCCGTCTTCTCCCTTATGCTGTTCTGCTGTCCCCGCCTGGAGAAGCTCCGGGTTTCCAATGGGACCGTTGGAATGGACTTGGGCCTACATATCCCGGTTTCTACTATTTCACGTTTTTCAAAAAGCCCGACCCCTTAATCGTCGGGACCGCCTGTTCGCTTCGCTCACAGTCGGATCAAACAAGTGTCCCCCCACAACCAAGTGTCCCCTCTCAGGGCAAAATAAGTAGGTATCTGTATATAGAAAAACATATAGATAGGTACTTCTTCTCATTTATTCTAAAATGTAAAAACTACACTTTCATCATCACTTCCCTCTGAACTATCACTAGCCATATCTACAATCTCTATTCCTTCTACTTCCTCTACTGCCTTTGCTCTTGCCTCTATCTCTAGATCTGGAATAGGGGTCAAAAGCTCAATTGGTATAAACTCTTTTGCCCCAGTAAGCCTTGTAACCTCCTTCTTTCTCTCTCTCGCTCTCTTCTGTGCTTCTACACCTGCTTGATGAAGAGCTTTCTTTGCTTGTGATGCCTCTGCTTTTGCTATTCTAGCAACTTGCTTCTCATGTTTATCAACCTCCTTTTGTGCCTTCTGTTGAATTGTAGCATGTGCATGAGCAGCAGTTAAAGCACCTCTAAATTGTAGTGTATGGTAGCTTTTGCTTTTGCGATTCTAACTCTGTTGAACCTGTCCCTATAGCATAGAGAAGTCAAACTCTCGTATCTATACATCTACTAAAACCTCTTCCATTCCCTTGATTGATGTATGAAATTGATGCTTTGATGGGCTACTTAATAGAGGTGTAAACTTGTGTTTCTATGCTTATGTAACGCTGACTTCTAAACGATAGAAGACACAGAGGTTCTCTTGCGTAAAGGTTTACTTATCAGAGGAGGCAGGGGATCAGACACAAAGGCTTCAAGTAACACGTTACTAGTATATAACAAATACTGTATTGAGTTGAGCACGAAGCTCCTATCTAAGGAAATACTATCTACTTATATAGTGGCGTCGTGCCTAGTGGACTCTTGGGAACTCACTCGAGTCCTCGGAGTCCTGGACTCTTAGGACTCTTCTCATCATCCTGCGAGTCCATCACGTGCCTAGTGGACTCCTGGGAACTCACTCGAGTCCTCGGAGTCCTGGACTCTTAGGACTCTTCTCATCCTCCTGCGAGTCCGTCACGTGATACTTTCGGAACTACTATTCCCCGCTGCCCCTCCAGGTACCAGGGCCGGTCTCATGCGACCTCCCTCCTTCCTGTCCTGTAGTTGGCCAGCCTTCTTGTTCCGTCGTAACACTCGCTCCCTTCCCCTGGGCATTCGTCTCGAATCCTATAAGTACGTCCATGTCTCCGGGACTCTGCTGCTCCTCAGCGAGTCCTTCAACATGCAACATGCCTACTGACACTGCCCGCAAACTCCAGGAACGCAACGATCTTGTCCGTCGAATAAAGAACCACGGATACGAACTACCCGAAATGGATTCTTGCTCGAACTGCGTGAGGCGAAACGTTACTTGCGTGTCGTCTCCAAATGATTCACGGCGGTGCGCCGAGTGCGTTCGTCGCAACTTGAAAGAAAAGTGTGACTGTATGGGTCCTGAGCATCCCGACTGGGTGAAGCTCGAACGGGAGGAGGATCGCCTGGATCGCGAAGAGGAAGAAACCCTTTCGAAGTTACTTCGTCTGCGGAAGCAGAAACGCCTCATCCGAACCCGTGGTAAAGATATGCTCCGGCGAGGTTTGAAAACCCTCGACGAGCTTGATGCGGCAGAGGAGGCCGAACGTGTGGCTGCTGAGAAGCGTGATGCTGTTGAGGCCGAGGAACAGGCAGTTAGCGCTGCCTCCTCGTCTGTGACCGGGACCCCCGCTTCCTCCGATCCACTGGCCTACTCCCCTGCATCTTGGGATCAATGGCTGGCGGATGGCGGCATCGATATTCCTCCAGCAGTTCTTTGCTGATGTTCCTTGTTGGTTCCCACGAATTATCCGTAGGTTCGTAATTTTCCCATTTTATCAAAAACTCTTCTCGACGTCCTACTAACCTTCTGTCTAGGATCGCTTCAACCTCATATTCGATTATCTCATTCTCGGGTTGGAGTTCAGTGTCGGTCGCAACTGGGGTATTTCCTCTTGCTGGTTCCAGTAGTGAGACATGAAATACCGGGTGTAGTCTAGACTTCTTGGGTAGCTGCAGTCTGTAATTAACTGAGCTGACTTTGTTCAATATTTTGAATGGTCCCAATTTCTTGAAGTCCAACTTTGTGCTTGGTCGTTTCGTTTTGATATGTTTCCGGAGTAGGTATACTTTATCCCCCTCCTTGAAGGCAGGTTCCATACTGCGCTTCTTGTTTGCGTATGCGGCGGATCGTTCATTTAAGAATTGGATGTCCGTCGCAAGTTGTTCGTGGAACGATTTCAGTTGTTCCACCACGATCAGGGCTTGTTCAGCTCGTGATTCATCTGGTCTTGGTTGCCTATATGCTTCTGGCTGGTAGCCGTAATTGGCAAAGAACGGTGAGACTTTCGTTGCTTCTGTCATCGCGCTGTTATATGCAAACTGTGCGATGGGTAAGATCTGAACCCAGTTATCCTGTTGATGATTGACATAGCTTCGCAGGTACTGTTCAAGGGTCTGATTTAATCTTTCTGTTTGGCCGTCTGTCTGGGGATGAAAAGCTGTTGATAGCTTATGATTTGTTCCCAGTAGCGCCATCAATGATTTCCAGAATTTCGAAGTAAAGAGCTTGTCTCTATCTGAGATGATTTCTTCTGGCATCCCATGATCGGCTAATATGACTCGAATGAAGGTATATGCGAGCGCCTCGGCGTCGCTAGCTTCTAGATATGGTATAAACTTCCCATATTTTGTGAGTCTTTCCGTGATGACGAGGATAGAGTCATATTCTATTCCTGTTAACGGGTCCTTGGAGGGTGGAAGCTTGACGATGAAGTCCAAAGCTATTGATTTCCACGCTCCTTTTGGTACTGGTGTCGACTTGAGTTGTCCGTATGGCAGATGCCTATTGGATTTTGACTTGCTGCAAATGTCGCACTCTCTTACCACTGTCTCTACCTGCTTCCTCATACCTGGGAAGTAGTAGTGTCGGGTGATTCGTTCGAAGGTTCGCGTTACTCCCTGATGACCGTGTGCTGGTAGCGAGTGTTGTTCTTGCACCAGCGGGCGTCTCATTTGACTTGGGACATACACTAACCCTTTGTATCGAATCAATCCTTGTTCGTCGATGGCGAAGTCGCCTTCGACTTTGGACAAGACTCGCTTGGCGCATTCGTCTGTTGCGTAAGCTTTCTTGAGTCTTTCCTCGAGTTCTGTATCTTCGATGACTGAGATCGTCGCTAGTAACTCGTTGTACTGTATTCCTGCATCTGTTTTCTTCAGAATTGCTCTAGGTCTTTCTTCCTTTGGGCCGGCGTAGTCGGTCCGTCTGCTGAGAGCATCTGCTCTTGCATTCTCGGAGCCCTTGCGATAGGTTATCGTGAAGTTGTAGGCTGCGAGGGTTTCTGCCCAGCGGACTTGTCTGTGGTTTAAAACCTTGGTCGTGGTGAAGTATATGAGGTTCTTGTGATCCGTCCATACCTGCACAGGGTAGGTGGATCCCTCAAGATATACTCGCCACTGCTCAAAGGCAACGACAATAGCCAGTAGCTCCTTGTCGTGGATGTCGTAATTGAGTTCCGCGGGTGACAGTTTCCTAGAGTAGTACGCGATTGGTTTGAACTTACCGTTCTCGTCTGGTTGATTCAGACATGCTCCAATTGCGAAGTCAGAA